TGTCCTATTTAGTTGAACGTCTAAAGATTGCTCTACCACTATGCGACAAGTGCAAATCAGTTTCCATTGCATACAAGTTGTGTGAAATGTTGTACTTGTCACTCCACTACCTTTAAAAGCTTTAGTGAGAAGCACCAATTTGACCAATTGAAATACTGGATGCATATTAGAACACCAATAAGTGAGCCATCTAAATAATGATGTAAAACTAAAGTCTATGTTTATAAGTATGTGACTATTTAAGCCAATCACCTTCTCGCTCCTGCAAGCCTTTTTTAACAGCATGACACCCTGTTCCTCACTGGATTCATGGAGGGCACAAGGCAGACATGAAACATGATTGATGAAACGGCCAGAATGCATTACTTTAACTTTAGTAAAATACTGAAGAGGTGCTCTCTATCAAAGTGTTTGTAAAATGGATAATTAGATACAGTTGCGCTACATAATGAAAACATTTCTCAGAATCAGAATCTGAATCAGATTTATTGGCCAGGTATGCTTACACACACAAGAAATTTAACTTTGGTGAACTGTGCAGGTACAACATTAAATATCAACAATATACATAATAAGAAAATAGTAACATTTACATGAATAACTATGAAACAGTGCAGTGGTGAATTCTTGATACTTTCAGAACTATTTACGTCTAACACTAACATGAACTTGAATGCAGGATAATTAATTGATATATGTATTTTAAAGTTCTTTCTGACTCCTGCTGCTGTGACTTCACATTAAATGGATTTAGAAACTGTTTAATACTGAAGGTGCGTGAGGTGTCTTGTACAGGCGATCCTAGTCACTGAATTATTGATGCAGTGTTAGAGGGATCATGATGAAAAGGAAGACAACACTAAAACCATTATTTTTTAATGTGATTGTTACTATCAGTCGAACAACAACACAGTTATTTTGACTCAGAAGATCATTTATACTCATTTTCAGTTTAAATCCTTCACCGTCCTGTCAGAAATCTTGAAGGACACAGACATTCTTCCTGACACCAGGATCACACTCCTCTTATTTATGGCCTGCAATAACTCCCTTAAACTAGAACTCTAGAAACTAGAGACACGCAATCACAGAGGAGAATCAAGTTAAAAAGTAGAAGCTGCGAAGTAGAGCCTGTTCAACAAAGATCTGATGTTAGCTAATGTCATAATACGTACGTCAGTGGACATATTAATAAAAAGGAAAAATTGTCAGTATCTATCAGTTAACAGGTATTTCTTCAGGACTGAGGAGTTAATTATTCACCACACGTCAAACAAACTGTGTATATAGGTTTTTTTTACCTCTGTAATCATGGAACCGGTTGCTCGGCTAGACCTTGGTCGAAAATGTTGAATCACTGTGGAAATCCTCTCCTATAAACAGATCGCATTTACTTCCTGTTGTGATTGTATCCAGATAGATCTGTGAACAGATACTTAATCAGAGATGGATTAGTCCCAAGGGGTCAGAGTAAGAAGAAATGGTGCATTTGTATATGTAGATTTTGTACATCTGCTCAAGTATACAGTATAATTAAAAAATGTTTGTTTGCTATTTCATGGCATCTGAACCTCCATTTGCCAAAAATGCACTATATATCACAAAAACCTCTGACATACGTTGCTTTGGGTAAATTGTAGGATACAGGCCCTAGCTTTATATTTCCTGTTTGACAGAAGTTGCTTGTGAAGTAGTTTGCTGTTGAAACTAAAAACAAAAGGTCACTCAATATCTCTGCAGCTGAAGAACTCAGGTTGACTTGACATGTAGATAGTGTTGGACAGAAAAGACCATCATGGCTGTTGACAGATGAATGTGCTGCCTGTGATGAAATGACACAACTCCACAAAGCTGCACTGTTTTCACATGTGGGGCAACCTGGCAGAGGACAAAATAAGTAAACCTTCCTGTCACATATCAAAGCTGCTTTCAAAATCACAAACTTTGGTCAATCTTTGTGGGAGAGTCAACATGAGTATTTTTATGCATCACAGTAACATAAGTCCATAAATACACAAAAAGAGTTATCGTGCAGAGACATGACAAGTTGACATGAAAAAGTTTCCTTTGTGTTGCCACAAATACATTTTTCATTCAGAAAAGTTGAGGGATTGTAACTAAGAATTGGGAATTTTGTCTAAAAATCATTTTTTAAAAAGATTTACACATGAATTGTGTGTCTAAAGCATTGTTGTCTTTGGCAGAATTCACTTTTTTTGCACAAAATGAAGACTGTTTTTACAAGTTGGAGAACAATTTAATAAAAGGAAGACAGAGAAGTACAGAAAATAGGAGTTTTTCAAATAGAAGACTCAAATAGAATAAAACGAAAGAAGCTTTATGGACCACATCGGACTCACCCTCTCTGCAATCACTTTTATGGCTCAGGCCTCAGATAACTGATACAGTTATAATGTTGACCAAGATATCATTATAGTGAAATAAAAACAGTTGTACTGATTAATCAGATAATCTGCAGACGTTATTGATTCTGAAACTATTGAACACTTGGCTTGGTGTGAAGAAGAAACTGAAATGTATGATGCCAATATAAGTAGAGAAATGTTTCACATATCTGATTTCAATTCTCAACAAAAAGTTATTCTTCAACCTTCTAGAGACTGAATTCATTGTGTAAAAAACATGTTGCTTTAATGTAAAAACTACTTGTTGATCATGATTGACTTCAGACACATGACTGACTTTGACTCCAAACAAATAAGCCCTGAAAGCAGGTTTGTCCTGCTGCTCTGAGGTATTCACTGCCTGAGGCGTCATACACACGTAAACGCTGTACCAAACCTGAGTATCGATCAAAACAATAACCTCTGTGGGTGTTGATCTATAAATAACATTTATAAATATTACCTTTGAATTGAGAGAATTACTCTTCTTTTCTTGAAACGCTGTATTTTATTAACAATAGGAAGCTCTTCCAAATTGAGATTTCAAGTATTGTGGAGTTACTCGTTTGAGTGGGAGGTCTCCCCCTTTCTGTCCCCCTGGGGTCTGCAGAGGTTTGACATCTCAGTTTGGTGATGGAAACCAGCCACCATTCCCAGTTAAAAAACATTTACAGTAACTGTCCACCACTTCATTATTAATACTAATTCCTGCAGGAAGTAACAAAACACATAAATAACACATATTTCCCTACAGAAATGTTTATTTTAAAATAGCAGAGACGATTTATGCACTAATTAAAACTCACAAAACATATATAAACTTATATTCATCAGTGTATTAACAAAATATGTTAATATCTCTTTTTATCTAATCTTTCTCCATCTGCCTATCTGGTCTTGTAAATTTGAAAACATATATCATTATTACAGCTAGGGGGCAGCATGGCACTGCAAACATTTTCAAAATAGAATCACAATGATTTATTTGTTGTTCTACAGAGAGAAGTTTGTTAACCATTGTAAGACTTGTAAAACTTGTATGTTTAGATCATTGAAATAGAGATCTCCGTGTGAACAAGAGCAGCTTTTAACTTTAAACCGTCACATTTCCCTCTTTCAGTCTTCTACCTCTTTATCTGTCAGAGCTCACTCTGACTGAAGTCACTCAAGCACACGAAGGAATCTCAGGAATGATCACCTTGTTAAGCATATGCAAGTTTCCTTTGGAGCCCTCCAGCCAGCAGCACAGATCAGTTTACTGCTTGGTTTGACACAAGAGAGAGGGAGATAACGCACTCCAAGGGTGGATTTGTTTGTTGCACACAGATTAGCAACAAATGAAGGTCATGACCTGCCAACAATAGACCGTCAAGCAGAGAGAGTGGGAAAGACCTCTCTATTCAACTTTTCATTCTGCTGAAGTCAGACCGAGAAAACTTTAACATATTCTCTCTGTGTGCTCAAGCACTGCACCAGGAATCAGTCTCTTCTTCCCCAGGGACTGAAGGAGGTCAAAGCTGTGCACTAAAGGTGATCAGGCCCAAACACAGGTCATATATGCTTCATCCGTTCCAGCAGGAAAAATAGTGACCCGGCTAAGCATGAAATGAAAGATAAAGAGCTGCTGTTGACACAGCTGCTCTGACTCCACACAGATTTTATCTGATCATTAGACACAATATGAATCAGATCATCTCAGGCAAAAGTATGTAAGAATGGGGTTTGAGTGCATATTTGCCTTGTCCTTTAGTTAAAGTATTTTTCTGTATTCAGCCCAGTTACTTCTTAGTCCACTACATTTATCTGACAGCTCTGTAACTTTAAACTGTCACATTTTGTAAAGTGCAAAAGTTGCAAACTTCTTAATTTTTTCACTTTTATTTGATAAGCAACTCCACCTCAATCAGTTCATTTTTAAATGCTGCACACATTTCAATACATGTTGTGATTTAAAACACTGTAATAACTGCTCTGCATGTTGAAGGGTCTATTTTGATACCTTGGATTCAAACAACATTCACTGGGGCCATTCAGGTATTTTGGGCCCCTTCAAAACATCTCCAGAACCCAATTAAGCTACCCGAAGCCGTCAATAACTCGCAACTTTCTTGTAGTTGAATATAGAATAGTTACTCATAGTGAGCTGTGATAATAAAACCCTGTGCAGGCATGCATTTTCACTTACTACATACAGTGAAAGTCACTATTTCATGCAAGAAATTGTTCCTAAGGACATCTTGAACCAATCCAAGCGTTACATTTTCTGTCACTGCAGATCTATTCTAATCATTCATTCTTGTCTTATAATTAATATTTACAAATGTAGGCTAAAGGTTAAGATGTAATTTTCAAATCTTTAACCATGCAGCCATTTGAAGGTTTTGGAAAAACATTTATATTTAATGTAATACATCTATGAAAGCGAGTGAACCAATGCTACACAAGACAACATTTATAGCCTTGGCTCATTTGAAGTGCCAAACCCATTAGAGAAGAATATGAATCCCTAATAGAAAATATCTTTTTTTTTTTATATATTAAAATATTTAACAGGATTTTTCTATCTGGAAAAAAAATTCAATAAGGATAACCATGTGAGAGTAACTGGAAGTAAATTTATTTGAGTGTCAGCAGAATTTATAAACAAACAAATGTGTACAGAGAGGTAGTGGTAGACAGTTGTCTAGATACACTTTCCCTCCAAAGATATCAGAACAAGATATTCAACACAGAGAAAACAGAGAGTGCAAATCATCACAGTGTAGAAAACATCAATTTGTCAATTTATCTCATCTGAAGAACTTCCCTCAAACTTGGAGGACAGATAGCGGAGGCCCAAATGTTTCTTTCACAGGCACTGGAAGGCTTCATGTACACAGTGGAGAAATTTAAATACAAATGTACGATATTAATAAAGCAAGATGTTTGCCATTAAGAGGAAACGATACCAGATATTGACGTTAAATAAAAGTGTTTGCAGTTGAATAACTGTATTGTGATGAAATGGTTTTGATGTATAGGGCTTCGTTCAGTGCTGTAACTATTAAAAGTTTGATCCAGAATCATTAATCACAGAAAAAAATGTTAATTTAGGGATGTGTTGCATGAAGCAGCCTCTTCCAGGAGATGTCGTATAAAGCAATACTGTGATGTGACCATTATTTGTGATACAATTAGAACTAATGCCAGTTTATCATCCATAAAAAAACTGTAAAAAATGATGTGTACAAAGTCCCTCATTCACTGGTCCCTAAACACTCACTGAGCCAGGATTGTAAATTTTCAACCATGAATAAATAAAAAAACTAACATCCTAGCACTCCTCTCTTCATATATTCGGATTTGATCTTCATTCATTAAAAAAGTATATATTTGAGTTGAATAAGTGATACAAAAAAATATTTATAAACTGTGTGTAAAATTAACATGTTTGATAAGCATAAGAAAGTCAGGTAAATAACCTCATTTTGTTCACAAAGGCAGGAATGGTTTTTCAAGTTTACCATAGTCAGAATGTGACTTAAATAACTCAAGAGTGATTGTTAACAAAGAAAAATTCAGAGCACAAGTGACTTTTTTTTTTTTTTTTACACAGGTAAGACTTCAAATAGGAATGTAATTATTACAAAATTAAACAGTATTTACATTTGATTTCATGAGCAAAGGCGTAAAGCGCCATTTATCAATTCATTCATCCATACTTCTTAGAGCTGCAGCTCAATTAATACTGAGTGAATTTAAGAACATCAAGTTGGCGGCCGGATTAATATCCCAGAGAGTTCTGTGAACTCTGTGGTCGTATGGATCTTCAAACAGTAAAGTACTCTAAAGTACTTACCTGTAAATGTTTTGACTATTAACATGTCATGGTGAAATATCTACAGTTTTGTGTAAAAGTACTTGGCATGATCTCCAGCTGTTATGTCCCACAGTGATGCATATAAGCATCTTATCCTCGGCCTCAGGGTTCTTTTTACAGAGTGAGTGTTGACAACATGTTGTCCTGACTCGAGGAGCGCTTGTAGCCGGAGGATGAGCTGAAGTAAGTCTCGCCGTCCGTGCTAATGTCATCATCGTCGTCGGCGTCATCGTGCAGATTGCTGAGCAGCGGAGCGGAGTTGCTCTTTCGCCTTTACACAAAGACAGAGGATTAATTGAAAATATGTCTGTAGATTATTACTAGGCCTTCTTTTCTTATGTTTAATCATTGCTCTGTCTGTAAGTATTTATATATTTATAGTTTATCTGATAGGGACAGATACAATATACATAGACGAACTGAAAACAGCAATTCATTGCAAGTATCACAGTGTTTATAGCAGATGCTAATTTGCAACACTCGTCCCTAGAAGGGTATTACAAAGCAGTTAACTGAGTTTACCTCATTTCACTTCGCAGAGTTTTGACCTGGCTCTGGAGCTGGTCGTTGGCCTCCTGCTGATCGTCCAGGTCTCTCTGCAGCTTCTTCTTGCTGTGCTCCAGTCGGTCGATCTCCTCCTCGGCCTCATCCATCTGCCGCTTCAAGGCCTTCAGACGCAAATTCAACTATAAGAAGAAGAAAACATGCAACGGGTTAAAAAGGGTTCAACAACAATCGACAAATATTTTCCCAATAAGGCTGTCAGTTGTTCATTTATTTAATACAAGGTCTGTAGTGTGAAAAAAAAATACTACAATCAGAGTGTGTATAACATACCTGGTCCTTTTGGTCTTGCATTGAGTTATGCTCTTCTTCAGTTTGCATCATCATTTCTTTCACCTTCCTCTCCAGTCTTCGGTTCACTAGCTGCAGGTTGGCACGCTCCCTAAAACACACGCAGCATGATGCATCTTCATACATGTCATGTAGCACATCATTCTGACCTGCAGAAATCTTTGTACTCTAGGATTAAAATGCTGGTCTAATCATTCAAAATCAGACAATTCTTATGCATGAAAGAATAATCACAACTGACTTAAAATGATTCAAAATGTCATGACTAACTGGACAATAAAACTTAAACCATTAGCTAGTTTGGATATGAACAAAAGTACATCCTGCACCTAAATCTATCAGTGTTCAGGTTTAAAGTGTCACTTTCTCTTAAAGCTTTACTCCTCCATCAATTAAACACAGCACACCTCCTCTCTAACTATTCCCTGTTGAGGTCTTGATCTCACCTTTCCTCTCCTTCCAGCCTCTCCTCCAGCTCCTGTATGCGATCCTCCAGCTGGGCTACCATGCCCTCTTTGTTGGACTTCTGGGAGCCCTCGAGATGAGCCACTCTGCCCTTCAGATCTTTGTTCTGGAAAGGACACAAAAAGAGAAGTAGTGAGGTACCTTTCTGGGCATGCATGTTTATGCAATAATTACACATCAGCTAACAGAAAAAAATGTGAACTAAAAATCTATTTGTTAATGAAAACAATGAAAGACATGAATGAAATGAGTTGTGGCTTTGTTCTGACTTTACAGGACAACAGTGTGTAGTTGTTTTCCTGCTGACAGGAGAGTGTGTACCTGTCTCTCCAGAGCCATCTTGTCACACTCCAGGTCCTGTCTGCTAGCCCTCTCCTGCAGGAGTTCATTCCTCATCTGCTCCACCTGTCAAACCGAGTCCAGACACTGTCACTGCTACACAGTCTGATGACATTTATTATCAGACACTGTCTGAGCCTCACACACAGCAGAAACCACTGCACACACAGTGAGTCAAAACGTAAAAGGAGATAATGCTGACAGGGCCTCAGTTAATTGGTGAGCTGGATTTTCTTGTTTGTCTGCATTACACTTCTGACACACATCTCGGTGACACTGGGTTGTTGTAATAAATGTATGAATTGAACATAGCAACGGTTTAAGTGTGCTTCAGGTCTCTTACCTCAAATTTGCTTTTAATCTTGAAAACATTTTTGCATGATGTGAGGGCTTATTTTCAATTGTCAAAGAAAAAAAATAACATCTGAGGCGCCATTGGATGCGTGGTTGGTTTGCACCCCCCGTGTACAGAGGATGTAGTTCTCGATTTAAATACAACCTGTAACTACTTTCCAAAATGTCATTGCCCACTCTCTTCTCCCCTATTACTATATTTAATGTCCTGTCGCTCAAATAAAGGTACAAAAAGCCCCCCAATTACATTTTTTTTTTTTGCACTTTTTGATAAAAGATCAACACTGCTTTCATATATGAACAAAAAATACAATGCTAACATTTACTGATAGTTAACTTAGCTCAGCATAAAAAAATATATAAATAGCCTGGCCCACAAATGAATGCACTTTATCTTGTTAATATAAAAAATTAAATGTAAAAAGTAGAGCTGTGGTTTAACAAAGGGTTATATCTTTGCTCAGCAATGACAACAGCCTTATGTTTGAAGGGACAGAAATTACATGGTTATGGATCCTCTAATCAGACTCTACACGCTCCTTTAGTACTTATATGACGCTGTCATATTTTCTCTCACTGAAAACTAAATCAACTCAGAGGCCCTTCTGCACGAACATGAGTGTTCAGTGATAGCCCAGTTCAAAAGAGGGGAGAGGGATGAAAACTTAATCGATACAGCAGTGATGGTTCTTTCTTTGAAAGGGGAGCTCAGAATTGGTGATATTTTATGCCAATTAGTGTGTGACAGTGTGCTGCTCTGATGAACGATGGCCTCTATAACTGGTGCACCCGGCGCAGTGCTTGAGGGAGCTGAATCAGCAGACTGGAACATACAGCGAAACTAATCTGCTTTGTGAGAGACGGCGGGAGAGAGGAGGAGAGATTACTCTCATTTAGACAGGAGAGGAGCACCTGGTGCCAGGAGAGACGCAGGTGTTCTTCCTGCTGCCTCTGCTGCATCCCCACCACCAGCCCTTCACCCCATAGCCATACATCCCCCTACCCTCCTCTTCTTCCCCACAGACACTAGAGCACACACACCACCAGCTCTCAACCTACTCCGCTCCGACTACACAAAGCTCAAGTGTTGCCTTGACGACCGACCTCAGCCTCATGCCGAACCAATGCCACTTTGTCACAATGCCACTCTTTTCTAGCTGCCAGGAATTTTTTAAAAGGGAAACCATTTAAGGAGATTTAAATACTCTACTCAGTCACACTAAGCCTCTCTTGATGTCGCTACACACATTTATTTCAAATTTCAGTCACAACCTTTGAATCTGTGTCAGTTTTAGACCGAGAGGAACCTGTAACAAGGCCAGATCTTACAGGACTGTCTTTAACTCCTTTATTTTGAGGTCCAAAGGACAGAAACATTAGCATAAAATAAATAGGATTTGCAATAGCAGAGCGTTATTTTAGAAACATCAGAACCAACATCCTCCCTTAGACTAGACACCACTTTCCCACAAACAACAATCCTTAGAGTACACATACTTTATCTAAATCTAACTTCTCAGTGCCTCCGTCAGCAGCTCGATAAGGGAGGAAGGAAAACTAGAGCACATTCGTACAAGGATATAAAAACTGACTTTAAGCACAAGAGCTGGAATTGTTCTCAACATGAAGTTACTGAGTGACATTTCCAAGTGAACTCCACAACCTGAAAACTTGAGACATTTGGCAGCTTGCATTTTTTGGCTCGGGCGCTGCATTAAGAAGGGTCTTTTGTGGCTGATGCATGAAAATGAGATAGACGCTCTCAGACCTCGCTGGCTGGCCTCCAAACTGAATGATAATGCAAGATCATCTTACAAAGCAATAACCTGTCCGCTTTATTTACAGGGAATGTTTTCGGATTATATCGGAGACCTGATATTGTTTTTTTGGAGGTTTCAGTCGGAGATGAGTGATTCATGCAGTTAGAGGTGGAGGACAAAGCAACAGGAGATCTGAATATCATTTACAGGTTGAGATGGAACAAGAGACACGTCTGTGTGAACTAAAGGGAACATGGACAGAAGGTTACTGACACAGGTGAGCGCTGATAATGAGAATGTGTTGAGTATATGTGTGTGAGAGTGTGTGTGTTGTACCTGCTCTCGTCCTCGGTCTATCCTGTCCATCAGCTGGTCTCCACTCTGACGCTCCTCATCCAGGTCCAACTCCAGCTGAGCAATCCTGTCCTGCAAAACCAAGTAATAACATTTACAGCTATACCTGCTTTATGAACCAGTTTCTACAAATACATTAATCACAAAAGTTGAGGGGGGATACGGATCGGACATTAACTCATCAACTAATGCCAAGACGTATACTACTGGTTTTATTTGACCTAATTCTGTACCTCCATGAGCTTTAGATGACGAGTTTTGTCTTCTTTAACGTTGGCCTTTGTCTCTACTTCCACCTCCAGGTCTTGAACCTTTGTCTCCAGCGTCTTCTCCCTGAGCACAGCGTCGTCTCGTTCCCTCTCACACTGCCGCAGGTCCTCCTCCCGATGTGACAGCTTATGAAAAAAAATACACAGCACATAACATCTTAAAAATACTGAAACATCACTGCTTATTGCCGCCTGATTTAACTGTTGTGTATAAATGTTTAAACCACATCTTTTAAAAGACAACATGTCATGTCTTAATGAGTAAAACTGGTCTTTCACAGGTTCGGGGTCTCTTAAATGACCCTCAGCATGTTAGAAATACAGAAAGTAAGAAGATCTGCCCTCCTGATCAGGGATTGCCTGCCTGTTAGATATGACTTATTTCACCTTATTAAGTATTACTGCTGCAGCGATGATTAACTATTAAGTTGTTGTTTAGGGAAATTATTCGGTGGTTCCCCTGAGTAACTAATGATTCAGTGCAGCTTTAGTTTTCCCCCCGTGTGCTTTCAGCAGCAGCAGCACCCCCACAGCTGGAAAACTGTCCCCACTGCTCTATGCAGGACAAGGAAAATTCATCACCTACACTTATTTGTTAACCAGAACAAATATTTGGCCATTAGCGCAGGAGTGTTCCATATTTTATCATGTAAGTACTTAAATAAGACTTAATTTAAGTGATGGAGCTAAAGCTTTGCATCCATAGACTCTGTAATTGGTGTAATGGGACAATCAAGCACCCCTGAAAGCTATAGATGGGGAGTGAACCGTGATGTTTTTAGGCTGCCTTTTGGCCAGGTTATGAAAAATGCTTTCATAGGAGAAACACTTATTCAGCCTACACTTGTCATTTCAGTTTTATTCTGCCAAGTTTAAATGGGTGGAGATACATTTGAGAGCAGCTGGAAAAGTGGACACACTAAGGCCTGGTGCAGAACTGTCAGCTCCTCCGGAGAGGTGGAAGATCTGGAGGATGTGCATCCTGCCAGCACAGCTTTCACAACAATGATATCACTACACTGACATCCTCAACTTCCTGTTCAGCATGGATAGAGATAGGAAAGAAAGATGCTGTCCTTGTCTTCGCATGTAAACTTCACTTACAAGCACATGTAGTGCTAAAAACATCAGGGACATCCAAATCAAAAGGAGCGGCAGAATGTTGCAGTATGTTAAATAGAGGCTGAAAGTAAAAAGTTCAAGGAGAAGAAATTGTCAATATTCTTCTTTGTTCTTTGCTGGAAGGCCTACAGAGTTTACATCAGGGCACAACCTGCCAAGTGCTCCATTAAAAATGCACCCAGTGGAGTTTTATTATAAACAAACATAAAGTTGTTGACAGCTTAGAGTCAGGGTACATTGTTGTTTTTATGAAGGTCTAAAAACATGATGGATGTTATTACATTTTTATAAAAGACTTGCAAACGTCTTTTAGGAGCTTTGTTTTCTTTGGGTTTTTTTTACAAATCAAATCAAACCCACAAGTGGTCTTAAAGAAACAATTGTTAATTTATGCTCATTTAAAGTCAAATTAAACAGCCAAGACAATCTTGGTCAAGTGTCTGCAATAACACTCTGTTACTGTGGTTACAGTTCAGAAATATGAGGAAAAAGGAGGAAGCAGGAAACAAATGTTGCAATTCTTATTTTAGATAAGTACACCATGTCTTGTGTGATTTGAGACATTTCCCTGTTGAGATTCATGCATTTAGCAAATTTGTAACATTGAAGTGTACTTATGGAAACAACTTTAAGTATAATGCTCTCGCTGGGTATAAAAATGTGTTTGTTGTGGTCACTGGTCAAACAATATTCAACAGCCCCACCTTGTTTAATAAATGTTTGATACATTAAACGACATGCTGCCATCTTAGCCTTTCAATATTCACTCAGTCCTTCTTGAACAAAAAACACAATTCACTTTCAAAGTGCTGCCAAGTGTTTTCTGTTGAATTGTGTGAATGTAAACAATGCTTATTAGTCATTGGTTTCCACATTACTCTAAGTAATGGAATGATTAAAATGTCTCTTGTTGTTGTAACTCTGTCAATGAAACAGAACTTTTGAAACAGAGAGAGTTGCTTTCTATGGCTTTATTCTTGTCAACTACTTTAATTTTGTGTTTTGGGTTTGAGGAAAATGGCAGAAATGCCTAAGTAGTGACATCACTCTCTGAAAGCAGAGGATGATTTGAGGGAGGAGTTGAACTGGGTCATAACAATGGCTCCTCATCTGCTGTCCTGCTCAGGACTCAGTCAGGCTGCCTAATGAAGGCTGTGATTCCACCACTCACCATGAAAGTATTCAAAGCATTCAAACCTATGACCGTTCCATTATATTAGGGCCAACATGGCCAGTTGTACCTCTTCTTGTAGAGCTTTGGTGGCAAGCAGGTACTTCTCCAGCTCCTGGCCTCGCTCCTTCAGAAGTTTCTGCAGCTCCGTAAGCTCCCGACGGTTCTTCTCTTTATAAATGTCAATCTGCTCCTGCAGCTCCCGAGTGGATGATTGGGACGCGTCCACAATATCATTCATCTGCAGACATGTTGAGAGAGAGGACAGGCAGGAAATAGAAAATAATGTCAGATCTATACATATATTAAGTTGTAGTCTTTTAAAGTAAAATGATTTGCTCCTGTATATATACCTGATAGACAATAACATTAGATTTTTATGTAACAATTTATCAGTAAAAAATCAGTCAGAAGATCAACCAAAAGATTGAAGACTTTACTCAAATGAAACCAGCCACTCGTGACCACATTGACCACATAGTGTATGTGCTACCAACTGAAATGACACCCACCTCTCTTTGGAGTTTCTCCACTGTACGGTCAAGCAACCTCCTCTCATCCTCAATGCCATTCTTCATGTTCTTAAACTGCTCCTTCTGAACCCTCTCTTCTTGTAACCTCTCCTCCAGCTCCTTGTGTTCACTGCTCAGTTTTGTCAAGTTTCTCTAAAGGATGTCACAATTTTGAAGATGTTAAACTCTGCTTGAGATTGAAATCATCCATATTTGTCCACATGCAGCGTAGTGCAGTCCTGCTTTTCTCACCTGTACGTCCTCCAATCGGATGGTCAACGCTCGATTGGCACGTGACACCTCCTCTTCTTGCTCTCTAATTTCAGCCAAAGACTCTTCCAAATGTTTCTTGTCTTTCTGTTAGGTGAACAAGTAAGACATGTATACATTATCATGTACTTAACAGTCGCTAGAAAGAAGATATATGATTAATCTAGATACGTCTATGGCTGGCACTCTCACTCAAACATCTTTTGACGCCTCACCTCCAGCCGGCTGACCCGGTCCCCCAGCCTGTTCTCCTGTAGCTTGGCCTCATCGATGATGCGGTTGAGTTTGGCCACCTCATTTTCCAGCTCCTGTGCCCGCCTGCGTAGCCGCTCGGCCTCTTGGTTCAGCCGTCCCGCTTGACCCTCCACTGCACCCTTGGCTGCCTCCACTTCAGCCTTTTCACGGCCCACTGCTGCACTGCTCTGCAGATCAGAACGACACACAAGGTGCTCAGTACAAAGGGAGCAGGAGTCTGTGACACTCAACAGTTAGTGGAACAACAAATCAGGCTCGAGCATTTGAGACTTCTTTTAGATGCCTCATGTGACAAAATGCTTGTTCAAGCGCTTCGTTTTTCACTTTGTATTTTTCACACTACACAATGAAGTATAAATGGAGGTCACTAAATCAGAGCTTACACTATCCTCTGCTGATGGAGGGCCACACAATGTCAGAATGTCCCGTCACTAGATTTAAAGTTGTTATGCTTGATGTGTCTTGGAACCACATAATTTCCTTATAAACATAGGTACCAGGAACATACAGTGTTAATCTGCACTTCTGGCAGTGCAGTAGTAGTAGAAGAGTAAACATGGTGTCCTATAAACTCTTCTCGTGCCAATTTCTGAATGAAGAGTGCGCTGTGGCTCTGACACTTCAGGACTGAGAGTTGTGCAGAAAAGACCGAACTGGAAGCTGACAGGAACACATTTCTGTGCGAGAGGAGGAAACAGGGACAAAGAAAACTGACAACATTGAGACTCAATCCGCTGACAGATAACAGGTTTCAGTTGAGATGACACCCTTCCAGCAAATGACAGAGCCAGTAGACAACAGACTTGCAAGAGTTTGTTTTGAAACAAGATTTTCTGTAGTGGAATGTCAGGAAACCGGTTTGATAATTTCATGTTTTGTACACCTATAAACAAATATAGAAAATGTCTCAAACTTATTTTACTGTTCTACCACAGAGCTGTACCAACATTCTGATTTACTGTACGGTCAGTTGCTGTACACTTAGGTAACCTGTCCGGTCTATTCATGTATGAATCTATTTATTGAACACATTTCATCCACAGGTCAGTGGATGGAGTCGGAAATCGGGGAGAGAGAGAAAGTTGGGAATGACATGCCCCCATACATGGGGGCACTGGAAATGTGGATTATTTTTTTGACGATAGCTTAATAAGAGAAACATGGAATGACACGAGACGACTTATCACAGCAGATTTTAGTTGTGATGAGATTTGAACAGCAACAGGTTCAATTTGACCACTTATTAACAAATGCACATCTTAGCTAGCTAGATCTTAGGTCTGCCCTCTCTGCTGCCCAGTCATTTTTGCTTGGTGACAAATGTGAAAGGCACTCTCGGTGTGCTCGTCTAGAAAGGTGACGGGTGCCTCCCTGCTATGATGGTGACAGGCCAGTCAGACCAGTTTCTCACCACAGAGCCACCCTCATCCCTGTCTCACTGGGCTGCTTTGTTTGGCTTAAGGAGCAAGAAGCTCTGTTTAGAATCAATACAACCAAATCCACTGTAATCAAACTGTTCAGCTTTCAGGATTAGCCAAAGAAATTAGGATTTTAGACAACAAAGGTAGATAAATAAAATAAGAAAGTGACTCAATAATAATTGCAAACATTGAAGATGTAAGAGTCATATAAGGCCATTTTAAATAGTCGAAATACCTCTTAGTAGAATGAAGCACAATTCCTCTGCTCCACCAACTACAGACTCTAAATGAACAACTTGTTATCTCTTCATAAATCAGCATGTTTGTGACTGGTGCATCCTCATGTAGTTCAGCAGCTTCCAAGTGTTTCTTTCAGTTTGTTTTCACATATCAATGCCAAATCATTTATTGGCCTTCAACCTAAAGTGACCCTCAATTTCTTCCATTCAATAACTCATTTGGCTACATTGGCTTTACTCTCATTGTATTTAGGGTGGAAGCTCATTAATGGAAAAAAAGAGGTTGACCAGCATGTGGGGCAAAACACAGCTTTCACTACAATAATAAACCATTGATAGAATGTGTCAGGATTGTGCTCCCTTTCAACAATATTAACAACAAGTTCAGCCCTCACACTTTCTGCCTGTCCCACTTCCCACACTGGGTCATACGAGTTAAAAACACGACAAAGCCAGACCGGCTGGAACGAGGGAGACCCTGCTGCTGTGTGGAAGGAAAGGGGGACAGGATGCAGTAACTGTAACCTGCAGCATATTCCATGCATTCCTGCATATTCAATATTCCTGTAACGACAGGAATATCTGGTAAGTGAATTGTTAAAACTGCTTCTAGATAGATTTGTTTTACTTAAATGACATCCACCTTCGGTCCCCTCCAGTGTTAAAGTCACATGCTCATGAAGCATATATCGCATATACATTCAGTTTCTCTTAAGGTGTCACTTACATGATTCTATTCTTATACACAAATACAAAAGTTATTAATTGATGAAATGTGTTACTCAAGATTATCCATCAAACCATTAAAGGAGTAGTGCAAATAAAAAAAATCCATCAGACAATGATTTGTTTAAATGTCTATTTATAATTCTTTATCCGCCTTTAACACAAATGAAAAACAAAGAGCCTGAACACAAACAGACTTCAGTACTTTAGAATAAACCATGACTGAGAAATATGCAGTAATATTTTACAGCTAGTATTTTTCCCTTCAGCCCTCACTCGGAGCATGTCCGGGGTCTTCTATGTGTACTCAAACTGTTTGTCTAAAGTTGCACATTAACTTTTTTTTCTGCGGTCTTTGAAGCCTGCTACGAATGCTGGAAGTAAAGTATGTGCAGGTGGTATGCTGTGGTGAAATCTTGGCTCGCTTACTTATTCTTCTAAATCAGCTTCCAGCATAACATAAGCGCTGATTGTGTAAATTGGAAGCTGCAACAGAAACCCACAACCAAGCACAGTTAAGATCAATTTTTCCATTAATGTTTCAATATTCCTAATAACTGTATTATCAGGAGGAAACAAGTTAAGCAATTTAAAATAAATCATCAAACCTCAATATTCATTAACTTTAATTAAAACCTTTGAGCCCCAAACTACCCAGTTCAAATACAAACAAGAGAAACCTGCACTAAATGGGTGAGGGGTATCATCATCTGGTTTCATCTTTGGCAGGCCACTAGTGAAGCATCTCATGATTATTATCACAGATATATGTGATGTTATCATTTCAGGTGAAATGTATTACTACTGGTTGTTTAAAATGATTTCCAGCTGTGTTATTTCACTGGGCACTCAGATGACCAGGATGTATTGAAACACATGACTTCCTGCTTCAGCAGCTGAAAAAACATGCTTATGATGACTTCACTTTTAAAACAGACCCACAGCGACATGACAAATTGATTGTATGATACCAAATGAATGTTCTGCGGGAGTTCCAGGAGGATACCATTTTTCACCTCTTTTCTTTTTATATATCTGGAGATTTCCCTCTCTCGTGTCCTGTTGTAAGTCTTCACTCACACATTTTCAGCCCCTCAGTTGTTTCCTTTCTGCTGTGCTGTCAAAGCTCATTCATAAACTTCATTCATCACGAGATAGCCGTTTGGTTCAATGTCCTTATTTGTCTTGCAAATCATTCTGTGATTCTCTTATAGACCAGCTGTTGCAAAAGGATAACCTTAATCTCATCATCACTTCCATAAACACCTGCAGTGTGGACAAGTGATTCTACAAGGAAGATTTATCACCAGCACAAACATCTATTCACTTATATTCAGTACTCATTACACTACACACTATACTAACTCTTACATTCATGGGCCTGCAGGCTATTGAGATGATTTGTATTTATGTTTGTTGTGTTGAGAGGGTCAATTCCAAAATGTTTCTTTTTTTCTGTCGCTTGTTGACTTCTCATGGAAGTGCGAGTAACTAAGTCCTGCCCTCACAACTTCAGACTAAACAAAGCGATTAGAGTTTTGCAAAGATGCTAAAATATGCACGGCAGGCTAAAATAAGCCTTTTTAATTCTTGCTAAGTCTGTCTCAAGACACACCAACACACCAACAAGCACTGAGAGCTCTGCAGACACGTATTTTATATTTACTGTTTGTACAAATCCAAACACTAAATAATAAAAAATAAAACTGCCCATCATCCAAAGTATAAGTCATAACCTGTATGGTATCACATGAACTGACCCTGGGTCTTGTGTTAGGGAGAAGAAAAGGACTCTGTTAGCAGTTTAGAGCTTTGATTTGCTTTTCCAGCACCTAGTTTGTGTTACACATACAACAGCTTTTCTCATTAAAGAAGAAACCCAGTCCTGAGGCTCGCATTAACAGCAGACCTGTCATGAAATGAAAACGTGACAGTTGAGAGGCGTTGGTTACTTTTTGGTAAAAGAAGGGCTATAACCAAATCTTGTCTTGTCCTACAAAAATGGAAACAAAATCCGTTTTTTTTTTTAAGAGTCTCTGTGCAAAGCCAAATCACAAGCGTGGAAGGGTTGTTTGGGAATTACACTTGTTATACTTGTGACCATACAGATATAAAAAAGATTATTTAAGAAAATTGCTTCATATAAATCCTTTTTTATCATTGTTTTGAGTCACAAATCATTCCCAGTGTGTCAGTTTGACTCTTTTTTGTTGATTTTGTTGTTGTTGTCACAGTAAATTCTGTAAACTATGGCCATGATTACAATCATCTTTGAGCATGCACTGCTGTAAGACGTGAAGCTCTTTTCACGTGACTTCACTGGAGTGCATCTAGTGTGCGAGATTAATGAGACAATACAAAACATGTAAAATAAAACATTAGGCAGCATGACTGCTCAGAATATCAACCCAGTTTGTTTTGTGACACAGTGTTTGTATTGGTGCATGTTTCATCGATGTTCAACCAAACACTGTTGACTGTCTTTTATTTTTGTGGGTTGGGACCATATTGGATCAAACATTTGATTTCAAAGTGATTTTCCGATATTCAGAAAATACTTCTAACTCCTATAATTTGTCCAATGTAAAACTGGATCACACAACATTAATAAAGAGAACATGATGTTGGACGATATATATTATACCTTAAAAAAGATCACAGAAACAAAGGGGCATATCAAAAATAAACATATTTGCTGACTCTGTTTTACTTTGACTCTCAGGCTTCAATACTCAATCAAAGGCAACAGAGAGACAAAGGGGGAGAAAACTCCAGTTTAAT